AAAATGATTTAATAGGCTACTACCTTATCATGAAACACTGGAAATATGCTGGAAAAGTCCAGATGATATTCATTTATGTGATACATCTACATTTTAAAGAGAATTTAGTTTGGATTAAATAATAACTTTGATGGAAGAAAATAAAAGGGTACATGTACGAAAATATGACTTAATAAGATTCATATATCAATTATATATTCACTCCATAATTAGTGGCCCAACTGTTGAATATAATTGAGTAAGTTAGTCATAGCAGAAAATGGACAAAACTCTTGCATAAAATAACTTTATTTTCAGTCATGCGCAATGCAAATGAAGCGCGTTGCCATTCGCCCCGCCTACCCAAACCCGCAAACCAATCAAAACCACGAAGGAACTGTCAATCAAACCAACGTTTGTCGCTGAGCTAGCGTTTGAGTTAAGAAAACAGGCATTAATTTAGGTGAGTGGAAATATTGTGTATTAAATGCACGGGAGATTTTGATAAATACAAATAGATATGTATAAATATAAATAAAATAATCTCTCGTAATAAGGACGCCATTAATTTATTTAATCTGAGTTTCAACAGAGGCTAGTTAGCCTACTATGCTACTTTAGCTAATAATAATAATAACCGGTGATGCAGAGAAAAGTCATTTTTAAACATTAATGCACCTCAAGCGCTAACTCGCATGCATGTGTGTTTGCAAATACAACCTACTACATATTTTATGCAAACAAAACACGTAATAAATAAGCCAACAATCTTTATTTAATAATCATGGCAGTGTTTCCAAACACGATGTCTATCTAGACAGCATTATTTTAGTATTATTAAGATATTATGATAGTTTTTAATTCATATTTTTATTTTTTTTACGTATGTTTATATTTGCTTTCTTAATTTATGTTACTTTTTAAGTAATTTTGTTTATTCGTTTTTTTTTTAAATATATCTATATAGTTTGTTTATTTTTATTTCGGTTTTAGTTATTTTAGTACATCAAGTTAAACTAAACGAAAATGAGAAATGTTGTCTTGGCAAATAGCTGAAATAAAATGTTTATTTAATTATTTTTTTTTATTTCAAGTTTATTTCTGTTAACGTTTATTATATTTCAAGTAACAAAAATACTTTTTCTACCCTCTTATCTTTGTGTGTGTGTCCCAGAATTTTCTGAATTCATGTAATGGGTGGTGTAAAGCAAGAGCAAACTGATGCTCCTGCATCTAAAGACTCTCAACACACAGATAATGCACAAGAGGAGGTAAGATGAGGATTGCTTAGACTTCTTCAATAATCTTGTCTATTATATATCACAGAGTACTTCAGCTGTGTAATTGCGTCATTGTAAAAGGTTTTGTGGTCGGCATAGTCAAGCACACTCATATTTTCCTCATAAGCTCTTCCCATATTTGATTCATATCAATTTGAATTGATTTGTTTCAGAACCAATCGACTTCACAGCCAGTAAAGAAGCGAGGCTGGCCAAAAGGGAAGAAGAGAAAGAAGGTGTTACCAAACGGCCCCAAGGCTCCGGTTACTGGTTACGTGCGTTTCTTGAATGAGAGACGGGAACACATCCGAGCACTTCACCCGGATCTTCCCTTCCCAGAAATCACCAAGAGACTCGGAGCAGAATGGAGCCGTTTGGCTCCTCATGATAAACAGGTATTTTGTGTGTGTGTGTGTGTGTGTGTGTGTGTGTGTGTGTGTGCGTGTGTGTGTGTGTGTGTGTGTGTGTGTGATAATCCACACAACTCCAGTCCATCAATTAATATATTGTGAAGTGAAAAGCAACATGTTTTTAACTTCAAACATCTGGCTTCTGACTAAAATATGAACCTTCTATCCATAATATTGCTTTCTAGAGTGAGTTGTCTCATCTGAATCAGGAGGGAAATATACACAAATGAAGCACCATTTACGAGCAAAAACGGTTCTAAAGAAATATGTTGGTAGATTTTTATGTGAGACGACAACAGAGGATGAACTTTTTCACTGGAGGAAACGTTACTATGGATTATGGGCTTGTATTTTGGCCAGTTTAAAATTAAAGTGCCTTAATGATAGATTTGTTTCTTACAAACATGCCGCTTTTCAATTCACAAGATATTAATTGATGAACTTGGAGTCTTGTGGATTATTGTGATGTTTTTATCAGCTTGGATTCTGGTTTTGATGAAGAAATAAACTCACCTACATCTTGAATGGCCTGAGGGTGAGTTAATTGTCAGCAAACTTTCATTTTTGGGTGAACTATTCCTTGGATTCTCATCCTTCTGATGAAAATGAATTAATTAATTTTTTGTTTGTTTGTTTTTTAAACAGCGGTACCTAGATGAAGCCGAAAGGGACAAAATGCAATATGCACGAGAACTCAGGGAGTATCAGAAAAGTGAAGCTTATCAGATCACATGTGTAAAAGTTCAGGACAAGAGAATTAAGAGAGGTAAAAATGCTCTCTCTCTCTCTCTCTCTCTCTCTTTTTAGGGGGTGTTATTTGCATGCACTTTTCTGGTGATTGTTGTTTGTTTTTTTTAACGAGTATGCTATAATGTGCAATTCAACATTAGTAATGGTGCAAGTGTTAGTTTTAGAGAGAATCATTTGTTTGTTTGTTTTACAGAGGAGTTGACTTCTGTCATTATCAATGCCAACAGTTCAGGATCTACAGGTTTTAAGGCAAGTATACAAACACAGCCTGAATTCTCAAACATTCTCGCCCCATTCCTGAAGTAGTAAGCATGGACATTTTTCTTGCAATCTGCCTCATGAAACTATTTCCTTCAGAACTCAGACTTAACGACCAGATTTGACGTCCCTATTTTCACAGAAGAATTTTTGGACCAAAACAAAGGTAAGCTTTTTTTTGGTTTTGTTTTTTTCTTTCTTAGAACAAACCATAAACATGGAAAGCTATATTCTTAAAACTGCGCATTTCCCAGCACGAGAAGCGGAGCTGCGGCGACTGCGCAAGGCTAATGTAGAGTTCGAAGAGCAGAATGCGGTTCTCCAGAAGCACATTGCAGACATGTTCAGCGCTAAAGAGCGGCTGGAGGCTGAGCTGGGCCAGGATGAGCTGCGCACGCAAGCTCTACAGCGCCACCTTCAGGCGATCAAACAGACACTGCTCAACAGCCTGGCCACTGTGCCTTTGCCAGGTCAGTACTGTACAGTGCCCATAATACCAGTACCCTGATAGATTATTTTGCAGTGAGAAACAGCTTTGTTTTTTTCTCAGGCACAGGCGAGACACCATCGATTGGAACGCTGGACTCGTACCTGAGTCGCTTGAGTAGTGCTTTAGAGAGCAGGCCTCATGAGCATCGCGCCTTAGTCCTCAAGCTACAAGAGCTCTTGGCTCACCTAGACAGGTAACTATTTCTGCCTCTGGTTTGCAATAGTATGCACCATAAGACAAGTGCTGGAGGAAGTACAAAAATCAAGTACTTGAGGGAAAATACAGATTTCGTAATAACAGGCTCACTCCCAAAAATGAAAATACTGAAGACACTTTGAAACTACCAAACAGTTGATGGTAGTCATTGACTTCCATAAGTTACTGGCTACCATCAACTGTTCAGTTACCAACATTCTTCAAAATATCTTCTGTTGTGTTCAGCAGAAGAAAGCAAGCTTTGGAACAACTTGAGCATGACTTGATGACAGATTTTTCATTTTTTGGGTTAACTGTCCCCTTAATTACTATTGTACTAAGTATCAAAAGTAAAAACAGGCAAATCTTTTTTTTTTCTCCATTATTTCTTTTTTGTTATTATTATTTGGCTTTTCATAACATGTTATTTCATACTAGTGGAAAGGAAACTTTTTGCAAAAATATTTGTTTTATTACACTTTATCTGTTTGGTAGGTTACATGTCTTTAAAAAATGGGGGCAAAAACAAAAGTGTTGCATTTATAATTTTGTTCAGTGTAATTTGTCTACTTCAAAGTGAATTCGTTATTTCCGTTTTTTATGTGTGAATTATTAACTTGATGACTTGTTCATTCGTTTCATTTTAGTTGTCACTCTCAGTCCTCCATAGTGGGGAAGACTTTCAGTGATTTTGATCTGTCCCACACACAAATATCTGCTCCTTTTATGAGATATGTTCCTGTGGCTCAGTGGTAGAGCATTGCGTTAGCAGCGCAAAAGGTCTTGGGTTCGATTCCAAGGGAACACACATACTGGTAAAAAAAATGTATAGCCTGAATGCACTAACTCGCTTTGGATAAAAGCGTCTGCTAAATGCATAAATTATTTATTATTATATTAATTAAATTATATGTGTAGTCTGGACAGCACTGGTAACTGACAACCAGAAGAATTTGTCTGGCCTTTGACGTTGGTTCATTGTTCTCGTATTAATCTCTTTATTCCCCTTTATTGTGTATTACCTGTATCTGAAGAGGGTGAACCATGATCTTCATAAGCATCTCCTGATCAGGAAGCAAACGGTCTAAATCCAGACCTTGACACCTCACTCCCTGCAAAACAACGAAAAACAGATCAGTTTATAATCATGCTAAAAAATAAAAATAAAAAAAGGCTTCAAACAGACCAATTGCTGGACCCCATTTAAAATCTGATTCTGGAGCAGCTCTTCGCTGAGAGTAAAAGATCAATATATCATTGATTAACTGTCACTGATTTTTTAATGACTCAGTTTTACAAGTAGGAGTGACAAATGGCTGTCTTTGAGTAAGATGCTGAATTATTCACTCAACCGATTTGTTCAAAAACACAGACCGATTCAGGAACACCACTTCTGCAGTGTGTGAGACTGTGTGTCAAGCTCACCTTGCTGAGGAACATGGCATAGTATCTATGGAGAGGCAAATGAAAGGTCAGCTGGTTGAGGGCAGGCTGTGACAGAGAGACAGAGGGGGGGGGGGGGGGGAGACT